CAATTTCATAATTTTATAATTGAACCAACAGAGAAACTTGTTCCTTTTATAGAGACAGACTTCGGCATGAATTCCCCTCATCTCTCTCCTCCAAATTTTTCTTTGAATGCAGAGGAAGATCTTTTGGCGTGATTATCCTTTCTTCGCAGTCGTATGTGTCAGGATTTCAAAGCAGGTAGCCAATTGAGTTTCACGTAATTGGGGCAGGGAAAATAAGTTAGCCTAATCATTATAACTAGGTGATTTTCCCGTGCTCATGCACGGATATAAATATTCAGAAAAGTAAAATTTTATAATAATTGATTGATATTTAATTTTAATTTTGAATAAATTTTATGACTTTGGATATATTATTGTCGGTTTAATTATCTTTTGGATCAATAGTCGGTTTGATTATCAATTTGGTATATTGGATAATATATGTTTTTCGAGTTCAGCTATAATATTTTTTATTCTAAATATAATAAAACTTTGATTAATTTTCTTATTTTCATTTCGGTTGGTTATTGTATTAGATATGTAAATATATTATAGTGAAATTATGTATAACTTAATATATATTGTGCTTAAAATGAAATAAATAATAAACGGAAGTGTTTGATTCAAAATTACATAAATGAATATAATGATAATATTTTGAAGTCTCATGCATATATATAAATTATACAAAAGAAATAAATTGTAATTGGTTAACATTTTTTTTCTTTTTAATATACTTTGGGTCAACCTCTAATTTATATTATAAAATTAAATAAATTATTATTATTATTATTATTATTATCATCACTATTATTATTATTATAACATTATATGTTCTTATTGTAGTTAGATGTTTAATTTTGGATATAAATTAGATTAGTCGGGTCATTCAATTTGGAGTATATTGAGTTAAATATATTTTTAAATTAAAATTGAAGTATAATTACTTTTTATTTTAGTTAAGTCAAATCAATTTAGTTTTATTTATCGCTTAAATATACATGTGATTTCATAATATTTATTTACTCTTTATTTTAGTTAAGTCAAATCAAAATAGTTTATTTATCGCTTAAATATACATGTATTTTCATAATATTTATCAAATCATATGTTGATTTCTAAATAATATTAGAAAATAAAGTGTAACTGGTAAATTTTTGAATGTTCATGAACATATATATTTTTATTATTTTGAAAATATATTTTATGTTATTTAAAAATATATATTAATGAGGGTATTACTATTTTGTGAACTTTCCTTTTTAATAAAGTCATATTACATACATATATTTTCGTTTTTAAATTTGTTTTAAAATTTTAGAAATATTTCCTTTTTATTATATATGTTAATTGGAAAAAGGTAAAAAAAAAACTAAATAAAAAAATTAATAATAATCTTAAAATCAAATAATTCATTAAGGGTATCTATGTAATCAACCATCGCAAGAGTTAACGTGAGCGCAACACGTAGAAAACTGACTTCTCAAATAATATTATAGAGATTCTACCAATTAATTTGAAAATCTGCTTTTGCTTCTAAACCTAAACGAAACCTACTCTTAATCGTAACCTAAGCAAAAAAGGACAGTTTGGTCTTTATGTTTCTCCCACTTGCAAAACTCACCCCACAATAAATTGAATTTAGGTATTTTGCTAATTATGCATTTCTTTTAGGATTTTGACCCAATTCACTCAAATATCAATTCTAAACCTTAAACCCTAAACTCTAAACCCTAAAAAGTAAACCCTAAAAAATCAACACTAAACCCTAAACTATCAATCCCAAACCCAAAATCCTAAACTTTAAATTCTAATAGTACTAGGTGATTTTCCCGTGCTCATGCACGGACATAAATATTTATAAAATAAATATATTATAATAATTTATTGATATTTACTTTAAATTTTAAATTAATTTATAATTTGTAGGTATAATTTCTAGTAATAATATTATATTAATTTAATTATATATTTAATTTTAGATATATTATATTTCGTCAGTTTTATTGTTTTTCGGTTGATTTAGTTATCATATGGATATATCAGCTTCTATCTATTTCTCTGAATTCAACTATAAAATTTGTTATTCTAAATATATTATATTTTTGATTAATTATCTTATTTAGATTTATGCCGGTTGTTATTTTCGAAATATAAATATATCTAGTTAGATATGTATAACTTAAGATTTTTTGTGCTTAGAAAGATAAAAAAACAAAACAAAAACTAAACTGTGTGATTCTAAATTACATACCCAAGTAAATAATAAATTTTTGGAAGCTTATGAACACATATCAATATTTATATATTTAGATTGATTAGATGGCGAACTGAAATTTCTTTTAAATATTTTAAAAATAAGGATTTTGATTTGCTTAAGTATTTTGATTATAGTTACATTAAGTTCCACAAACATAAAAACATAAAATTAAAAATAAAAAGAGTTAATAAGAAACATATAATTTTAACTATTAAAATATAATATATCTACTTCGTTAAATTATATAGTGTTATGATATTTTAAAATAATTTTAGTTATTTGATCAAAAAATGTTTATTTTTAAAATATTTTTTAGTTTTATTTTTAATATCTCTTAAAATATGCAGTAAAAATGTTATTGTTTTTTAGAAATTATATTATATAAGTAAAATCAAATTTATATTTTTTGTTGTAATTGTAAGATATTATAGTCAAATATATATAATAAAAATTAAAAAAAAATATTTCAACAATACTAATTATAAAAAAAAATTGTCAGTTAAACATATATCAGTTTATGTTACTTAATTATTTCATGTATCTATTAAAATAGATAGATATATACAAAAAAATAATTACTTTGAAAATATATATATATTTATAGTTTAAAATTATTTATTTTTATACTATCAAGATTAGTTGTGTAAGCTTTTTTTATGGAATCACATTATATACAAATATTATTTTTCATCTAAGAAGATATAGATATAAAGTATTTTATTCCTTCAAACGTATATTTTATGTTATTTAAAATATATTTAAATTAAATATTACTATTTTGTGAACTTTCTTTTTTTATGAAACCATATTTATATATACTTATATTTTTGTTTTAAAATAGTTTTGTAAACTTTATAAATGTTTCCTTTTTATTTTATATTGTTATTTGGAATTGTTTTTAAAAGAAATAATAATATTTAAATGTAATTCATTAGAGGTATCATAGTAATCAACCAACGTGAGAGTTAACGTGAGCGCGACACATAAAAAAGTGACTTCTCAAATAATATTATAAAGATTTATCGCTTAAATATACATGTATTTTCATAATATTTATCAAATTATATATTGATTTCTAAAACATAGTAGAAAATAAAGTATAATTTATAAATTTTTGAATGTTCATGAACATATATATTTTCATTATTTTGAAAATATATTTATGTTATTTAAAAATATATATATTAATGGGGGTATTATTATTTTGTGAACTTTCATTTTTAATAAACTCATATTATATACATATATTTTCGTTTTTAAATTTGTTTTAAAATTTAGAAATATTTCCTTTTCATTATATATGTTATTTGGAAAAAAGTAAAAAGGAAACTCAATAAAAATTAATAATAATATTAAAATCTAACATTTCATTAAGGGTATCTATGTAATCAACCACTGCGAGAGTTAACGTGAGCGCGACACGTAGGAAACTGACTTCTCAAATAATATTATAGAGATTTTGACTATTAAAATTTTAATGATAAAGTTGGTTAGTGTAAAGTTGAAAAGTGGTATCATGAAAGTGTTATTTCTGGCAATTTCCCATTTTTTATCCAATCAAGTTTTGGTATTTAGTTTTTGTTTTTGTAATAACCATTTGATTTGCCAATCAAGATGTTTTAAAAATGGATTCCCTAAATTTTAGGGAAACTAGTTTTTCAAAATTCAACCAATTTATGAAGAAAGACCAAAAACCAACTTTTGTGAGCTTTTAGTAAAAAAAACGAATTTTATTTCTTTTTTTATAGAAAATAGTCAAATACTATAATTATTTAATTAAGAAGTAAATAAATAGTATTGCATAAAGAGAATTTTTGCATACAAGTTTTTGTAGATAAGATATCATTTAAACAAAAATGTAAAATAATTATTTGTGTGTTATATCAGTAAATAATTTTTGATATATATATATATATATATATATATATACATATGTATTAGTTGTTCACCATTAGTTATTAATACCTATACATAAAATTACTGAATAATTTTAAGAATTATTAGACACACGAAAAATTAGAAAAATATTAAAAATGATTAATATTATATAAATTTTGAACATAGCCATTCAAGTGTTAAAATAAATATATTATATATAAGAAACTATATAATTATTTCAAATTTTAAGCATTTTTTATAATTCATAGATATTTTCTGATTTATATTTTAGTATGACACTTTAAACCATCGTTATTCTATTTTTATAAATTAAATGAAAATTTCTAATTTTCTATTAATGTTTTGTGTTATTATTTTAAATAATGCATTGATTATTTTTTAAAAAACTTAAAACTACAGAAAAACCAAAAATCAAAATCTAAAAACTAAAAACCAAAAACTGAAAACCAAATCCGAAAACTTAAAAACTAAAAACCAAAAACTAAACTCTAAAACCAAAATCTAAAAACCTAAAACTAAAACCAAAAACTATTTCAAACAATCATCACCTAAATCTAAAACCAAATCTAAAAAACCAAAAACTAAAACCAAAAGATAATGCAAACAATCATCACCTTTGGTATCCGCCCGAAACATGATTTTTGGGCTGTGATTGAGTTTAAGAAGCCCAATAAGACGCTGACGGCTTTTAATAAAGCCCAAACTAGGGATTGTTCGCAACGTGTCAACAAATGCAGCAGTTATTGTCGCTGAGTCATATCAATGGTGTGTTCAAGTGTTTAAAGCAGTGTAATTAATAACCAAAACACAAAAGAGAAAGAGAGAGAGTCAGCTAACACCCAACTAACAAGACACGTAGACAATGGTTTCGTTTCGCTTCCCTTTCTCGTTTTCTCAGCCGTCCTCATTCCCCAAACCACCGCGTCCCACTTCTTCATCATCCAGATTCTCTGTTTCTGCCGTCGCTGTGACAGTCACAGTTGGCGCCGCAGCGGCTGGAGCTGCGATTGCGGCGTCACGGAATCCCAGGCATCCGGTTCTGGATTGGGTCTTCTCCTCTCACCGTTCGTCTCTGTTACCATGGGGATCTATGACTCTAGCCGATTCTAGCTCCGAATCCGTTGTCGAACCCAAAACCGGTTTCTCGTTCCCGGCTACAATCGGAGGTTCCCGGAGATTACTCGGCGTGGGGCTGAGGAAGAAGAGCGTGCTGGGATTGAAGAACATTGATGTCTACGCATTCGGTAAATTCTCAACCGATCTACTTTCATGTTCTGAACTGAATCTTTTGTTTGTTGCATTGGTTTGTTGTTTATTGTCATTAAGTTCGCATCTGTATATCTTAGGCATCTATGCTGACTGTGATGATGTGAAGAAACTTGTGGGTGAGAAATACGCAAGTCTTGCAGCTTCTGAGCTCAGGGGAGACAAGGCTTTCATCGATCATCTCATCGAAGCCGACATAAAGATGACTATACGGCTGCAGATTGTTTACGGCAAACTCAACATCCGTTCCGTGCGCAATGCTTTCCAAGAATCTGTAGGTAACAGACTCAAGAAGTTTGGTGGCGTAGACAACGATGAGTTGCTCCAAAGGTTTTTAACTAACACAACAAATTTCATTAATTTGATTCTGAGTTTAGCTGTTGATTTCTTTTTTTGTTTACTTTTGAATGTTGTCACTTGTAGCTTCACTAGCCTCTTCAAAGATGAGTATAAAATTCCAAGAAGTTCCATAATTGATTTGACACAAGAACCAGGCCATGTACTCAACGTAGCAAGTAAGTCTCTAAGACTTTATGAGTTTTCAAGTAAATTGTCTCTCAAAGGTTTCTAAAACACTATTCATCCCTTTGTTTTACAGTTGAGGGAAACCATGTTGGGAGTGTGAGGAGCAAACTCTTGTGTAGGTCAATCTTAGACTTGTACATTGGTGAAGAACCGTTCGATAAGAATGCAAGAGAAGATTTTCTAGACAATGTGGCTTCTATAGTCGTCGACAAGTAGCTCATGAGATTCAGTAGATCAAATAGCAGAACCAAGTGTGATCTTTGTTATTGAATTCTCTATAATACTGTTGAGGTATTTTGAACAAAATAAATTGCTTGAGCGATGGGTTTTGTTAAGTCTATGTACGTACACTACACCGATCATAATGGAAGAAAACGACTACCCCATAAAATACATTAAAAGAAGATACCGATTCTAAGTTTTATATTATCTGGGTTTAATATTTAGCTTAATTCAGAAGCTAGACACTGCAAAAAATGGCAACTTCATACGTCCAGCTTCGATGAAACTAGTACTTTAGCTCAGAAAGGTGACCAGGGCACGAAGTTATGATCGGTGGCACGTTCCTCCCACAAACTGGAGATTTCTTTTGGGTCGAGCCAGAAGCTGAATTCTCTGCCTGGTCTTTTGCGTGTGCAGCTGAAGAAGGAACAGGTGATAACGGCAAGGCTTTGTTGTTGCTGACCTTAGGGCTTGCTGCTTTTCCATGTGGAGCAGACCCTGTCACTGCAGAAGAAGAGCCACCACTAGTTCTTCCATGTTGCGACTTTGATGGTGCTGCAAAAGAAATCTGAGTCTGTCCGTGTGTTCTTATCTGCTGCTGAGGCTGGAACTGCGTGAGGTTTAAGGAATTGCACGACGTGAGTGATGAGGCTGCAGGGTTTTTCCACTGGGATGACTTGGCGGTAACAGAGTCAGCCTGAGAATGAGCCATCGTTTTACTCCGACCAGATTGCTGCTGCCTCTGCGTAAGATGATGGGTAAACACTGAAGGATCTCCATTTATTGTTGTTGCTGCAGGAGGAGGCCAAGTACCAGAAACAAAGTTGAGGGTTCTCGGTGGATTGTCAAAAACCAGCGTCTGTCCTTTCATCGCTGGAGTCCTCCCGGTCAGAGTCTTTTTCGGATCCTCGGCATGACTTGTAGAGCTTCCAACTCCCGTCTTCGAGTCACTTGCCTTATGGTTTTTATGGTGAACAACGGGAGCTGCAGATACGAACTGGTAGCCATTGGTAGAGAAATTCAGATTTGCAGGGGCAGAACCACCAGCGAGAGAGGCAAATGACATGGAAAAGTTTTGTGGCTGCATAGGAGCAGTAATGATCTGGCCATATGGCCCTCCTTTATGAGTGTGGCTACCCCTTGAATCTGCGTTATCTCCAGCGGATTTGGCCTCGGACTTTTGAGATTGTTGACGGTGTTTCTGAACATTAGCTTGGCTTGAAACGCTATTCACACGATCTTGCGGTTGCAGTTGCCTATGGGATACTGAGGAACAGCTCGTTGTCTTTGTCTCCCATTGGCCTTTACTTTGTTTCTGCAGAAGCTCGGGAGGTTGGAACATTTGCGGCGAATAAAAGGACCCATTGAAGAAAGGTAACGTTTGGCTCTGACTCCCATCTCTGACGGTTGAAGACAGTTGAAAGGAATATGCATTGTTTGGGAGAACTGTAAAGTACGGAGAAGAAGCTTCGCAGGCTGATGAACTTGGGTGGTTAAAATCAACAGATGATGTACCAACAGCCACACATGGATTATTGTTTGTTGGACGAGATGACTTCGAAGGTAAAATGACCGGTTGCAAATGGTGGTTTGTTGGGAAGATGAAAGCTTGAGCAGGCTGCGTTAAAAGAGGAAAAATGATTTTATTCAGGAGAAGTAGATAGCACTTTTAACTAAAACGCAATAATAGACACACAAATTCGTAACAAGACAAAAGAAGCCAGGGAAAGACATACCACTATACTACTAGATGCAGGGGGTAGTTGAGGTTTTTTCTGTCTGGTTGATGAATGACCACTTTCAGAGGCTCTATCCTTAGGCGGAGAAACATTAACTGTGAATCTATCTTGTGCCTGTGAGTTCAAGCTGAGAATAGGAGGGCTTCCTACCAAGGATGGGTTTCCGGCGGTTGGCCTCAAGTCACCACCTTTCAGATAAACAGAATCTTTGTTTGGCTGAGGAAGATGGTTTGCTTTGACAAAGTGCTGATGTTGCTGAATGTTCCGGGCAATGAAAACGTGTGTGGCGCACCTTTTAGGCCTAGGCTGAGAAGCAGAAATCGAAGCACCCTGCATTTATTATGAAATTATGGTTTAAAATTTAAACTAGCAGAGGGAACAATGATCAATATCTATATGAAAGATAAATGCAACTACAACAGCATATACCTGCACATATGTATAAGATCCACCATCCACAGATTTACAGTTCTGGATCAGGGGTACATATCTGCCAATATTTTTTTCAGTTTAGAGTCTGACCATTGCAAGCACAATATAACGAAAGACAGAAGAGAGCTTTGGGCACTCACCCCTGATGAGGAATCCCGCTAGGCCAGCCTCGTACAGCTACAGTAGAAGGTAAGACTGAACTCTGCTGAGCTGAAATTGAGATAAACAACATTGGTTTTTTTTTTTTTGAACACAAAAACAACATTGGTTAGAAAAGGTAAATCTGTGTATCCCAGAAAAACCAACAGCTTTAGAAGCCAAAACTTGGATGGAAATATTGGTAAGCATTCAAGGTTGATTACCAGATTTAGCCTGCTGAGGTTGGGTCGAATCTAATCTAAGGTTAGAATATCTGCCGGTCTCTTGGCTCAGTCTCTCTATATCAAGATTCAAGCATTCACGTTTCTCGACAACAATCATCTCTTTGCTCTTGACGGAACTATCTTGCTGCATGAGAAAAGCAAAAAAACAAATTTTAGAAACCACAAAGTGGGGACATGCAAAACGGCGCACAGCCTTAATAAATCTACACTTGCCTTGCAACAATCTTTAGGAGCAACAGAATCAGATGTGGAGGGAAGAAAAGAAGGGTTTTTTGGTGAGGAAGGAACTGCTGATGGAGGAACCTATTGACAGAAAAGTGATCTTCATCACATTGGGAACATTGAGAGTGTGTGAAGCTAAAAACCCTAAACGAATAGATGTCTCACCATGAGATCAATCTCGAGCTTACTAGTACAAATACTCTCGTCTCCATTGTTTTCCAACCGTGGAACCTCCAATACCCTGCAAGCCCGAAAATAGAAAAAAACAGACAATTAGATTTCAGATCATGGATAAAAACAAACAAAAAAAAAACGAAAAATGGAATATTCAGTAATCTAATTGTTGATATCTAGTTACCCACCCTTTTGACGCGGCAGAATCCAATACGGTGGGTGTTTCTTGCCTGACTTCTTTCTCCTTGTGAAAATCGGAGACTGGAGACGATGTTCCGTTGGTGGATTTATCAATGTCCGAACCATCGGCACCTTCCGTCTCCAAATTCTTGTTCGCAACTGCAAAATCAATATATATAGTTTGCGTCTGAGGGATTGGATGAGAAGGAACAAGTGTGTGTTGTACATACCTTTAACCTCCGACGATATAAAGAGATTCTCCGATTCCGAATCGCTTTGTATCTTTGAGCGGTGAGGATGTTGTTGCTTAAGTCCGGATAAGACCTCCGCTATTTCAATCTCCAAATCGTCCTCCATCGTACCAGAGGATTTCGGTGGCTTCGGTATCCCCGATTTAGATCCGTTTACATTCACCTTCTTCTTCAGCTTGGTGGAAGACGGTGAGACAACTTCCAAGCCCGGAGAAGTCGGAGGTCCTCCACCACCGCCGCTTCCCGAAGAAGTCCGGCACTCATGCGACCTCTTTATACATGCTGCAACCGCCACAAGAAAAAAAAACAAATAAATAAGGAATTTTTTTTTGAAAAAACAGAGAGACCAACAAATAATAGTAATAAATAAAATAAACCTGAACGAGCCTTTCTTGGGACAGTAACGCCGATCATTCCATCGGCGACCGTAGGGAACCTCTTCCTTTGATAACTATGCTTAACGACGTCGTCTTCCTCCTCTCCCATATTCTCCTCCGAGCTATCTTCGTCTTCTTCTTCTACATCTCTCCGCGCGAACCTTTCACTCCGTCTCCTTTTACTCCGATTCGCTGACTCCGGATCTCTCTCTTTCTTCTCCGGTCTATCTCTCATCACCTCCTGATGCACCTGCCCACGACTACTCTCTGACACACACGAACAGATCAAAAAAATATCATCAGAAAATCGGAAAATAATGAGGAATAAGAAGAAGTAATACCTGAGGATCGTTGTCTCCGTTTCGTAACACCATTTGAAGCAGCCATGGAGGTTGATGATGATGATGATCTTCGAGCTTCCCTGGAATTATCCATTCATGCAAGCGAACCTCCCATTAACTGATTCTCACTCCGTTAAAGACTTTGTGAGAGAGAGAGATGAACAAACAATCTACTGCTCTCTCTCCTCTCCTCCTAATATCTTCTTCTGTGCAATCCGTTCTGTGCGAAAAAGGGACGGTTGAGATCTTCAATTGACGACGTTCTCTCGATCTTCACCGTTGGATCATACTGTGATTTAGACGGCTACGATCTCGAGGAGCCAGCATGGCAGAAACGTCACTTTCTTATGGAATAAAGCAACTGCTCAATGTTTAGTCACACATTGTTATTATCATATTCATTTATTCTATGACTTTGCTTCCTTATTTCCTTCTTTTTTTATTAATTCAAGTATTGTCCACCAAACTGCATAGTATATATTAAATCTTCTCGTGCCCACCCATCATTAAAATAAACTATTTGGTCATGCCTTTACTATTTAATACTATTCCACTCCTTGATACTTTGATAGTATTATATATTGATCAAGAAAAAATAAAGAGTGCACATTTAAGAAAAAGGATCCAAAATTTGTTATTTAGTTATATGATGACATTGTGTATATACACAGCTGTCTGGATGTCACACGTATCATACTGTCAGTTTAGTTTTGATCTATAAAGCATTGACATTTAAAATTTTGAACGGTGCTTCAAAAGAAATAATCGGAGCCGTTATGGGACACTTGGCCGCTGATTCCCTCTCTATTGAGATGGTCTCACCCTTACCTTCGGCCACGCCACAGGCCCACAAGCAATATGTACTAACCACATTACTATTATACTGTAGTTTTGATGTCCACTTTTGTATTTATATTATGCTACGACTTGGTCCAAAATTTAAATCCTATCAAAAGGAGGAGCTTTATTATTATAAAATAAGATGACAAGGTAAAACAAATCCAAAAATTGTTTGAATAAAATATGGTTGGAAGATAATGCAAACGAAACAAACGTAGCAAGATAAACGTAAAGTATTCGTAGAGCAGCATGATTGTGGTAAACCAATTTAACTTAATCATCGTAAAGTGCTGACTGGGCGAACCGTGTCTTATGCAGTTAATGAAGGGAGAATCAAATTAGTATTCTAATCATGTTTATACTAGAAAAATATTTTTAATAATGTTTTGACCCCAGCCTATATAATAATAGTATAGTAACCACTTATATTACAAACCCTAAAACGGACGAAAGAAATAATAGTATATTGTAAAGACAGATTAAAACTTTATTGAAAAACTGGATGCACAAATTAACGAAAGTTTCGTTGGAGTTCCGATGTAAGGAATCCAACAACTCAGCCACTTGACATATAATATACATGTCTACAACAGTCTATCGATGCTTTTTGAATAAAGATTAGTATAATAACTAGTGAAATAAAATATTTTAATATGCAAACAGACAAATTAAAATATACTCTTCCCATCAACACTACTAATTAAATATTCACCATCATGGGTTTTAAAACACGGTGTATGGACTAATCTATTTGATTTCTTTTTAATAATCATCTGCAAAAACTATATTCAAATAACACACCACTAACGATGATGCATGCATGTCTTACAAATTACAACCACAGATAAACTAATCAAAATTCCTATATTTGATACTTTTATAGCAAGATCCGTATCCGTTTGCAATACCAGGTTATATAAAACGTGAAATTATTACCTTAAATATTTTTTTTATCTCATAATAAGTTGTTTTATAATTTCGAGCTGTCGACAATAAAAAAAAAAACAAATATCTATCGAGAACTGAAAATTAAAGATTATTTCTGGACTCAGAAATTTAAAGAAAAGGTGAACAAGGGTAGTACAGTATAATAGCGTCCTAGGGATGAAAAAGTGAACATTTCAATCATAGGAGTGTGTGTAGGCACAGTGAAGTCAAATTAGCCACCTATGTTTCAGGGTTCTAGGTGTATAGGTTTCATCGACGATTCAGAAAAGAAAAACAAAACCGAATTCAACATGGAGGAATAGAATTCTAGGGAATGTGGAAAATGAAAGTGTTATCGGCAGCAGAAAAGAAGTTAACAAAGAGTTTGCTGTACAAAGATGGAACTTTCTGTTTCAAAGACAAAAACAAAGACAAAGCCTTAAACAAAAGTTCCTCTCGATTTACCGAGGGATTCTTGTACCCCAAGACATGTTTTTTTCAATAAAAAAGAGAAAGCGGGAGCGGAGTTGGGAATGTGGGATTTTACCAGATCGTCGCCTAACACCCATTCCAGTTACACCTTCAACAATTCCTGTGGATTCATACATATGTACGCTTTAGCTTTCTAGTAATTAATGGCCACTCTACTTAGATGGATCGAAGACAACTAGACCAGCCAGAGTTTTCGACTAAATAAAAAGACTAATTAGTAGCTGAGATACCTTCTCTTTCTGTTTGCAGAGCTCCTCTATTTTCTTCATGTATGTGTCAATTAGTTTCTGTCATCATTACCCAATAACACACTTAAAAGTTAATACTTGTCTCTCTCTCTCTATAATGTTCTCGCCTTTTTTCAATTTTTTTATAGAATAGACTCTTGAGGTCGGATCGGATGATTACCTGCAAATCACTTGACATATCCTTGACGTTGTCTTCTGACAGCTTCTTCTCCTGTGAAAATGAAGCTTTTTTTTTAAGTTTAAATGACATACGAAGAGGAACACAAAGGAAAAATGAAGAATAAAAGAAGAGCTTAACCTTCTCGAGTTTATCATAAGACTTCAAGGCATCTCTCCTTATGTTTCTCAGAGCAACCTACAACAAATACAAAAATTCGAAGAAAAAAAGAGAGGCAAATTTAAAAAAAAAAAAGAGAGGTAGGCAATCATTATGCACCCTATAAAAAAAAAGAACACAACTTACCTTCCCTTCTTCAGTCTGTTTGGCTACAACCTTAGTTAGTTCCTGCAGTGGTACAAATGAAAAACACATAAGGAAGCAGAGCATAGAAAACACACACAGTTCATTATTTTGAAAAATTCACCAGGAGATGAATTAAGAGGAAGAGAAATACCTTTCTTCTCTCAGAAGTGAGGGGAGGCAAGGACAGTCGAATGACATCACCATCGTTATTAGGAGTGACTCCAAGATCAGAGTTGACAATGGCCTTCTCAATAGCCTTCAAGCTATGAAAGCATTTGGGATGATGTATCATGAACCAACCAAGAGAGCAAAGAAAGAAAAAAAAAGACATGAACAGGAAGGTATAAAATTACCTAGATTTGTCATAAGGCTGGAGCAAAAGAGAAGTCCCATCGGGGGTACTGATTTGGGCAATGCTTTTCAGACTCACTGGACTTCCATAGTACTCAACCTGGAAAAAACAAAAAGATTAAACATCTAAATTTGCCTAATAGACAAACATATATACACCATTCTCAAAAAAAAAAAAATAATAAATAAATAAATATATACACCATTCTCAATACCTCAATCTTGTCAAGCATAGCTACATTGGCTCTCCCGGTCCTTATGGAATTGAAACTAGTCCTAAGCGTTTCAATCGTCTTTTCCATCTTTGATTTCTGAATTGCACAAAGACAAAGAAAGAAGAATCATAATACTCACAGGCTTTGACTAATCAATAACCAAAGACAAAAACATGTAGAGGGAGGAAACGTACAACATCCTTCTCAATAGCAGATTTCTCGGCTTCAATTTCTTCAATAGTTGCAGACCTTATCACCACTCTGTATACAGGAGTTTTCAGACAAATTTAGCAAACACCCTATCATCACTAGCACATATGTTCTGTTATATAACTAACAAAAGCCTGCCTCTTCTGTAGTGACCGCTTGACAACGGGGCCACCGGAGAGCTTCACTCCCGCACCGAGTCGAAGATTGTCCGTCCTTAAAGAACACGCAATTGCGCGTGCAGAGGAAGCTCTGTCCCTCAAACACGAACCTACCCAAGTTTTTTTTTCTTAAAACCATGTGTTCGAATCCAAAGAAATAATACATGAGTATGATTCCCCAGTGAGAGAGCCGAGACGTATACCTGGGACAGAGACAAGGGACTTGGAGTCATTCGCTCTGAATCGAAGAATCGGTATGGTGTGAGCCGTGGAAGGGAGTGAAGCCGCCATGGCAGTTGTGACAGACAGTGAAGTAGACAAATCTTTTCTTTGGTTCGTCAATGAAAGGAGACTGCGCTGTTTGTTCGGGATAAGGAAACGCTTCGGGTCCTTTAGCACTGTGTTTTTGGATGAACTCTAATCTATTTCACACATCTCTTTTTTACTAGGAGGGCTTCCAAGTATGGGCCTAGAAAATTAAAGCCCAGCATTCAGAGGAAAGTGACGCTTCCAATATAACATTATCCTAAGAAAGTGATAAACTGGGCCTGAGTCTAAGTCCAATAATATTTGCCAACGGCTCAGATACATAGGCCTAATTCTAATAAGGCTATTTATTAGTATTATGCTGACAAAAGAAAATTGACACACAAAAAAGGTGAAAATCAATTATTATAAGACTATTTATATATATTTTTCATCTAGAAAGTATGCATGTAATCCTAAACCAAACCGAAAATATATAAGTACTAGAGATTTTCCCGGCCTACGCCCGAGTTATTTTCCATAAACTTCAATTTTTTTATCTTATTTTATAGTTTTTATTTTTGTATATAGATTTTATATTTAGGGTAACTACTTTATTTCAATTATTTGGATTTTAATTTTATTTATGTGATGGTTTGGGGAATACAATTTCCGAACCATTGAAATTCAATATCAAAAAATATATAATAAGCTTGTAGGCATAAGTTGTATAATGTTCTATGAAATAGTTAGAGTTTAATTTTTTTTGTAACCAATTGTCAGAGAAGGCGTAATGCATTAGTAGTATATATATGCATTTAAACTCCTCCTTTATAAAGTTGAAAATAAATAATCATTCCAATAACAGTATTATTCTTTTTGAAGAAAATAGTTTTAAGGAGTTGGATTTTGGTTGGGTCTAATGGAATTATATGATATCAGTAATGAATAATGTAATATATGTAATAGTTAAAAAACTAACAAATTTTAACAATTCATAGGCGCAGTAAGGATTATATAATATCGGTTCCAAAATATTTAAAGATGAGTAATTAACACATATCAGAGGCGCAATGGTGGTTTGAAAATCATAACAATAAGCAATTACCATTCATAAATGGTTAAATTATATAGATAAAATGTTTGGAAAGGGAAAGAACTCTGAAAGATGCAAACTGAAATGAAACTAAACTGAGAAACAATAGAAACTTAAGCTGGACAGAACCATTCAGTTCTTAATAAGCATGCACTCATTTAGGGGTTTTGGTCCGCCCTATGGACGGAAAGTTATAGTAAAAACTATTATATATTTATTTATTTAATTTTATGAAGCATTAAATCATTATAAATTGAACAAAAAAATAATAAATAGTCTGAGATTGTACTAAACATTTTTAATTTGAATTAAAAGGACAGTAACCTTCATTATTCTCTATTTTTGGAGAATATAAAATTAGCAAAAATAATTCAGAAAATATAATATATATACATATATATATATATATATATATATATATATATATGTATTCTTATTATTTTATTTCACTTCGACATAGTCAAAGAAAATCTAACATTTAAATGAATCATAGTGAATTGCATAAGTTAGTTTTGTATATCCTTAAAAGTTATAAAACAAAGAGATAAATAACTACTAATTGATTCAATTTTTTTGGACCTTTCGTTTGTGATCCTAAAACCACCTCCAAAGGAATTCTTCTATAGGATTTCACAAATATTTATACATATATAATCTATATATATATATATACATAATACATATTTTAAAAATTTAAATGAGAAGAATCTCCATTGGAGGTGCTCTAACGCGTGTTATATTACTAACTATTTACTATTTTTGTTATTGACAAATGCATTTTCTTAAGACTGTTTGGTTTATTTGAAACATTTATGATGTATTTGTTTTGGTTGCCTTGACGACTGTATATTAACAATATGGTGCCTTTGGTTATGTAGTTTTAGTTTATTTCCTAGTCTAAGCAATTATGATTTGTTTCCTTACAAAAAATTAATGAAACAATTATGTTTTATCAGTTTTTGGGTATTTGAAATCTTCTTAATAGTTTCTCTAGGGTTGGACATTTTATCCATAAAGTTTGAATCGACTATTTTGATTTGAAAATTCCGGATATCCGTAAATTTTCGAAGCAAAGTAAATATTAAAATTCAATATCCATTACAAACGAAGTAAATCACAAATACTAATAAATTAGAATCGGATATCTGATCCGTTCCAATTTTTATAAAAATAAGTGTACATATACAATTAAATATATAAATTTAAATGCATAATTTATATAATTATTATTTTAATATATCTTTTAATTAATTATATTTAAAAAATTACATATAAAAGTATTAACTTAAGAAAGGAAGATAAAATATTTATAAAACTATAATTTTCTTAAAAATTTATGTTTTATTTAAAATTAACTAATTTTGAAAAATTTGTGAGACATATAATTTCACTAATCTTTGTTATGTAAAATATATTTTTGGAAACAAACTTGTATAGTTTTTTTTTTTAAAAAAAAATATTTATATTGAACAAAGTGGATGAAATATCCGTAAAGTTTTCATAAATATTATCCGTAGTTTTTTGAAACAAAGCGAATCGAAAAATTAAATATCCGCAAAATAAAAAGCAAATCGCAAATACTTAAAATTATGGTAGTATTCGATCCATGCCACCCCTAGTTTTATCTATGAATATGTCAGCCAAGTAAAGATCATATAATTATATATTTAAGGGATTTTAGTAATAAAACCCCTCAACTAAAGATGAATCGTAAAAAAAACCCTCAACTAAAGATTTAGTGAAATAAACCCTTAATTTTAGTTCCATTTATATTTGTCACCCTCCGTCACGGAATTTTAGACGGAGGGTGACATACGTTAACACAAACTAAAGTTGAGGGTTTATTTCACTAAATTTTTAGTTGAGGGTTTTTGTTACGATCAATCTTTAATTGAGGGGTTTTATTACTAAATGTGATTAAATATTTTAAAATCTTTGTTATTATTTATTTATTCCCTTTATTATTTAAGAATCTTACAAAACATTGAAAATAATTTATAATTCTTTATATATTACTTTATCAAATTTCTAAACTATTTATAAAGCTTAGTAAATAATTTAATATTTAAAAAAAATATTTATAAGGTTTAACGACGATTTTATAAGCTTTTGTCTGCTATTTCTTATGGTGGAATAATACATGATTTTTCTTGATATTACGAAGTAAAACAATAAAGCATTATAAAGGAGGAAACACATACAATTTTCTTATATTAATATTGTCAAATATCAAATAATTAAGATTTCTAAGTTATATAAAGTTGTAGGTAGTGTTGAGGATATTTAATTAATTTATAAATTCAACATTGTTACTTAAAATATGATCACAAGGACATTTTTCTCCTCTTTAAACAATTTCAGTTTGATTCATACTTTTTTATATTTCAGAAGAAATAATGTAGGATTATTTTTTTGAACCAATATGTTATACTCTTACCATATTAATCAGTAAGATTTTCTTGTTTCATTTATTTACTTCATGTTTTTGTAGTATGACGAATAATCACATTTTTCATCTTATAAAATCACCATTAAACCTTAATAATTTATAAAATGTATTAAATGAGAAAATTTTATAAATAAGTTATAAAATTGATAAAGTAATATTTAAAAAATATAAATTATTTTCATGTTTATAAATCAATTTTAAGATTCATTAATATAAACTATTTTCATGTTTATAAATCAATTTTAAGATTCTTAAATAATGAATAAATGATAATAACTGTATTTAGTAATAAAACTCATCAACTAAAGATAGATCGTAACAAAAACCCTCAACTAAAGATTTAGTGAAATAAACCCTCAACTTTAGTTCTGTTAACGTATGTCACCCTCCGTCTAAAATTCTGTGACGGAGGGTGACAAACATTAACAGAACTAAAGTTGAGGGTTTATTTCACTAAATCTTTAGTTGAGGGTTTTTTTTTTACGATATATCTTTAGTTGATGGGTTTTATTACTAAAAACCCTATATTTAAGTGCACATTGGTCATAACTTTGTGAAATCCTCTTGGCAAACTTAAATAGATTTCAATTAAAGACAATAATATACCATGTTAGTATAATATGCCTCTCTGTAAGAAGTGTCAGAAAATTAATCCAGAAACATTATTAAATTTTCAGTTTCAGATTCTAGTAATGCTTAAAGGCAAGTTTTGTTCGCCTGGAGTTATTTTTAATGTTATTCAAAAGAATTATGTTTTTTGTGTACTATCTTCTATAAACACACTGGAACCAAACTTATTGGTCCTGATCCATATAAATTCATTAGATAGAAGACAACGGCCTAACACCATAGTCTGTTTTGAAACATTTTCGATAATTTAGTTAGGAGTTCACAGAGAAAAATAAGAGTCTATTTAGTTAACAGCTTCCTAACAAAATATTAACAAATTAGTGTAGTGTCTAATAAGAAACTTACTATAACTTAACATTCTTCTTTTTCTTTGGATCGTTTTGTGGACCTCTGGGAGTCCCCAACCAACGTCCCCATGCTTTCTCTAACCATGTCATGTCTTCCTCTTAAAGGTTTTTTGTGAATTTCTATTCTCCGGATCTTTTGTGAGTGTATGTATATATAATGTTTCATTACTCACTATTAGCTCAGAAGTTGTATACATAGTTTTTGATGAATAGTTTTAAAATCTCAAATTATATTTTTTAACACATTTTAACATGTAGAGGAAGTGAGTTCTTCAATGCATATATTGCGTTTACTTAATTTGAGCTTAAAGAAAGACATGTATATTGATAGGTTAAACACCACCCACCACGTTGAGTTTAATTAAAAATAGATAAAGTTCTAAATTATAGTGCATAACCAAACGAAAAAAACGACATAAAACATAAGGAAATGTAATGTTGATTTATGTTTTCTAGGTGGATTTAATCTTAATCGTGTCCCCTTCTTTCCATTCTTTGGGTCAACAATCTGATTGTTTGATGCTGAACGCCTTCCTTCTGGTACAGCAGATTCATGGACGGTTCCAGGATTGGATACACTACAAGAAAACACGTCCTTTACTAGGACGGGTTTTTCTCGTTATTT